CTGCTGCTGCTGCTGTTGCTGCTGCTGCTGCTGCTGCTGCTGCTGTTGCTGCTGCTGCTGTTGCTGCTGCTGTTGCTGCTGCTGTTGCTTGCTGCTGCTGCTTGCTGCTGCTGTTGCTGCTGCTGCTGCTGCTGTTGCTGCTGCTGTTGCTGCTGCTGCTGCTGCTGCTGCTGCTGCTGCTGCTGCTGTATCGGCGGGCTGGGCCGGACCGCCGCCGCGGCTCAGGCCGGGCCAGCCACACGGGCCAGCCCACAGCCCGGTCCAGCGAGGGAAGCTCAGCGGCCTAATTAAACGATCCGCTCGCAATTAACATTCCCAGCGCAGCGCAGTGAGCGGTCCAGATCCAGAGACGCAGCGCGGCGCAGCGCTCACTTCGCTGCAATCAAGCAGTCGGCGGTACGTACAGCAAGTGCGCCCTCGCTCCAGAAACTATACGTTCAAAACCAAATCTCACCGGCCGCCCACAAAATCAAAAACCGTCCCGGCGGGTTTTCGAGAGTGTGCGTGCGAGATTGGCGCGACGCACTGCGGCACAGATTCTGTCCGGCGCGCTGCTTGCTGTGCTGCGCTACCGAGCACATAAGCCGCTTGATCCCCCTAGCCTATTAGAACGGCGATTAGATAACTTTTTTCGCCGATAATCGTCAGGGGCTTATTAGCCCCGGCAGCTTGGGCCCCGCCAGTCAGTCGGTCAGCCGCGCGCCGGGCCAGGATCGACCAACTCGCTCATCCCGAGATTTCGAACGGGGTGGCTGGCCGGGACACCGTAAAAAAGGACGAACGAAACACACACCTGCATACAGTGTACGCACAATCGCAATGCACGCCTCACTCACACACACTCCCAGGTAACACGCACGCACTGCATGCTCCTTTTCGCAGGCAAACTCGCGAAGCAGAAGCAGGCCGCCAACAGGTGCTCGGCGTGTCCTCGTCGCGGACCTGGAGGCCCTGGAGGCACTGGAGGGACCTGGAGGACCTCCCTCCCCTCCCCCCGCTCGCGATCATTTGCCTGCGGTCGGCAAAACGCAACGCGATCCCCCGCGCCAAACTTAATGGCTTGTAAAAACGGCTGAAAAAGAATGCCTTTCTTTGGTTTGTTAATTAAAGCAACGAGGCTGGCTGGCTGGCTGGGGTCGCCGCCGTCGCCCTCCTCCTCGTTCTCTCCCTTCCTTCCCCCCGGGCCTCCTCGGCGCTGGCATCGCCAAGGCATCGCCAAGGCATCGCCAAGGCATCGCGAGGCGCACAGGGGGCGGTGGGTGGCGGCGCGGGGACACTCGTATTTCACTCAAATCTCGAGGCGAGCGGGCGGAGCGGAGCAGCGGCGCAGCCCGCACACGGCCCTCTCCTTTCCGCCAGGATCCCGTAACGCGACGACGCGACGCGGCCAATGACGGATTCCAGGTTCACGGAGACGAGCGCTGCGAGCGCTGTGCGAGCGAAGCGGCTCGCGCAAAGAAGAACGCAACTCCGCTTCGATCCCTGCCTCTGCCTCCGCCTCCCCGGCCGCGAGCACGGCGGGCACAGCCACCTCCGCGGCCCCGGCACCGACGGCACCGCGACGCGGCCCCGCCAGACAATGCGGCACTGCAGGCCCCTCTCGTCGTCCCTCTCGCACTCGCGGTGGTCCCTCTGAGGAGCGAGAGAGACAGAGCGACGCTGCTCGGAATGGGGCCGTGACAGTCGGGCCAACTGATTGGTTTTCCGCAGGCTGGCCACTCGCTTTGTTCTTCTCTGGAACTCGACAACCGGCGTGCAGCATCGCGGGGGCTGCGGCATTCAAAAGAGTAGAGGGTGGTGCATCCCGGGGCCTGCCCGCCCGCCCGCCCCGCCCCCTCCACGGCGCCTCCGCGCACGGTTACCCCGGCGACGCCGACGCTAAATCTGGAGCGACGCTCCCCGTGTTGAGGGTAATAAGGTGCGAAGCCGAGGCATATTCGACACGACAGCCCTGCAGCACCGCCCCGCCCCGCCCCCTCTCCGTATTCAGGCGGCGGGGCTACTTGATGCAGCGCGATGCACTGGAGGCGATACGCGGAGGCTTCCGAACGGAGATACATCGTGACGCTGTCTCTCTCGCGCCCCTCGGGCGTCCCGCACAGGTGCGAGAGAGACGGCGCTCTGTTCGCAACCAGGCTGCTGCAGGCCGTGCCGCGCCGCCGCCGTGCACTTCGGCGCGACATTACCGCCACACCAGACTATCGACGCCCACGTCGTCGTCGTCGTCGCCACATCGACCCGTGCCGCGCGCCGCCAGCCCGGAGGCCCGGGGTTCGAGTACCGGCCGGGCTGGGGAAAATGTAAAAACCGCCTGCCGCGCTTACAGTGTGTCGCGTGTCCCTGTGGCCGGACAGGGCCGCGTAGCGCCGCGAAGCCTGCGTGACCGAATAATGAAAAGCACCCGTTTTTAATCTCTTAAACGACGCCTACACACAACGTAATTAAGGCATGTTGAGGGGGAAGGGCATCGCCGCCATCGCGTACAGTGCGGGCACCGCGGGCCAAAACGAGATAGCCAGCCCTGTGTGGCGTGCGCGGCGTGCGCGACCAGGCCGCGGGCCGGGCCTCGGCCAGCCACAGGCCGGCCAGCCAGAGTGGAGGGCCTCACAATGAGTTTCCACGCTGTCGTGCGGCGCACTGCGCGGCGCGGCAAGCACGGCAGGCACGGCGCAGCGCGGGGCCTACCCTGCCCAAAATGGCCCTCCGTTCCCAGGCCGGGCGGGCGTCCGAACTATACAACCCCCGGCGGCCTGGCGGCCCAAACCTCAGCGTCGCACCGCGTCGAACAGTGTACTTGAGCCTTACGGCGTTCCGTTTCCCCGGCTGGCTGCCTGCCTGCCTTGCTGGCTTGCGATGCGCGGCCCGCAGAGAAATCACCATGAATCATTCAAGTATTTCATCTCGGCGAAACCCGTCAGGACGATCCCCTTCCCTCCTCGACCTACACAACAGCGCTCGCCCACACACACGCACGCCGACGTACACACACGTACTGCACGCCGCCACACACACACACATGGACGAGGCTCTCACGTGAATGCCCCTTCGCTTCGAAAATGTGCATATGTGCAGGGCGGGGCGTAAGGGGGTTTATGGTGCCGCTAAAGTGCCACTGCCATGATAACCCCATCCCCCGCCTGCCCGGCCTGCTCGGCGTGCACATGACCGTGCCGAACGTCAATACACTCCGCCAGGTAGCGAGCATGGCGAGCCCACTCCGAGCGTGCTTCCAGTGCCTCCAGTGCTTCCAGCCAGCGCTCGTTGCCTCTTCAAGGAGGGGCCGCCGCGCGTTGGAATAAAGATCCAAATTTTCAGCGCCGGATTTTCCGGCCGGTGGAACAAGCATTCGGGACGAGGGAGAGGAGGGAGAGGAGGATGGGCTCGTCCAGCCAGCCAGCCAGCCATCCGCCAGCCGGCCTCAACGCCGACGAACAGCGGCAACACCGCCGGCGGCGGCGGCAGTGCGGGGCGGGGCGGGGCGGGCATGGAACAGGGCGTCGCGAGGGAGGGGAGGGCGGAGGCTCCGCGCGGGGCTCGGAGCGGGGCTTGGAGCGGGGCCCCGAACGGCAACGAGGCAGGGACAACACTACGATAAGTCCAGGACGCACGCGTGACAGTCGCGGCACGGCGCGGCACGCCGAGCCATTTGCAACTCATTAGCGGCCTGCCTGGAGGTTCTGGAGCCACGCGTCGCCATCAGACGACAGCAATCATAGACCACGCCATGCAAGGCCTTGCCGCGTCCAGCAGCACGCCATGGTGAATCCTTCGGATGCTTTTGGCAGTGTACACAACTCTCGGTCTCGGAAAGCCGGCGCACATATCTAGCCACAATCAGCAACACGGCCGGTGCGGACGGCGGTGACGGTGCGGGCCTGCCAGAGGTACGCCGGGCTCTACGCCGGGCTAGGCCACTGCCATGCCGCGCTCCGCCTTTGTCACCCATCGGGCCATCGCCATCGGGCCCATCGGGCCCATCGGGCAGGTGGAAGGGCCGCAGGGCCCCAGGACCGCCGAGGGCGGGGCGGCCCGGGGCGGCCCGGGGTCCTGGACAAAAGGGCAGGCACGGCCAGGTCCACCAGGCCCACCAGGTCACGGCAGGGTCACAGCCCCGCCGGCGGGGGGCGTCGTCGCGTCAGAGGAAGGCAAGAAGTGCCACAATGGGAGGGGCCCTACCGAGCCCCGCAGAGGGCCGTCCGTTCGTCGGGCTGCAGCGACGGTTTCCAAAACCCCGACGCATCCCGATGGATCACACTGGTTGTTGGCGAGAAGACGGCCCGCGTAGCGGCCACACCACAGCCGAGCCGCCGCCGAGCAGGCCGCCAGAAACCACCACGCCCCAGATAAATAGCCGCCCTTAGTGATCCGACACAAACCTCGCATTGCAATGCAATAACATTGCCGGCAGCGCCCCGGTTAACGAACCTGCCATCACTTCTAGCCAGCCTTACGCCAGCCACCACCCACCCCCGCCGCGTGGAGGGCTGGCTGCTCGGGCGGCCGGCAGGCCCGGCAGGCTGCCTGCTTGGCCGTCCGGCCGGTATCCGGGCTTCGCCTGGCTTCGCCGGCGCCGCGAGACCACCCCTGCCCAACCCTCTCGGCGACCCACCCTCCTCCTCCCACCCCACGCAGCCGAAAACAAGTCAATGCGGACAATCCACCACCCCCTCCCCCACCCACCCCCAGCGCCACACAAAGACCGGCTGCCATATCACTGTCACGAAAATAGCGCTGCCGCCGCCGCGAAGTAAGGCACTTGGCTGCCACAGGGACGGGGGCCGAACGAGCGGCCATGCACAAACATTTCAACGCAAATAAGCCCTTTGAGGGATAAAGGCGGCAATACGTGGCGAAGCACGGCGCGGCACGGCGAGGCAAAGCGGCCAGAACGCGCTGTCAATCAGAGCGAGATTGCACCGTCCGTTCCAGCAGCCCGGACCGCAAAAACGGCGCTAAAAAACGCAACGTCCATTCCGACTGAGCGCCGCATCAAGCCTCACCTGTCTTTTCCTTGATTTCGCACAGGACGCTGAAGAGTGCTGGCTTCATCCGATGGCAATTTAGTGTGTGTTTCCTGCAGACAGACAAAACAGCGGTCAGTTCAACAAGTTGGGTGCGTCGGCGTGACGCGTTCGACAGCTTGGCCAAGCTTAGACGGCCGATCCACATCAAATTCAAATCGAGCGACAAATCCGGCGCTCAAGTCCGGGCCGAGACGCGCAGGGCACCGCGGGGCTGTGGCTGGGCCGGGGTGGCGGGATGCAGCCGCACCCCTGCAGCCGTAAAACTTTACTGACCCGCCGCCTGGGTACTTACTTATCCGTGACCTAGCCCTCGCCAAATTGAAAGCAAAGGGTCACAGCCAAGCCCACTCGACGCCAGGTGGAGCCCGACGTGAGAATGGCACTCTCTCATGTGAAACCGAAACGCCCTCGAAGGAGAGCAAAAAGAGGCCATGGCGGGGTCAAAAGGCGTAAGTGCCGAATTAGGCGCATTTTGGCATCATTTTAGTGTTGTTCTGACAACAAATTGGACCAGAATTAAACTGACGAGGTTTTCACTGCAAAAGGACTACTACCAGGCTCGGACTGGCCAGGGCTGACAGGCAGAAAAATCTGCCGGGGCCTTCGGATTTGGGGCCAGTAACGCCACAAAGTTGGTCAAAAAGTGATTGAGTCTCCGAAAGTAGCCGTTTTTGCTGAATTTGGGCGGCCACTGCGTCCGATCTAGTTGCGGCCAACGGCGTCCCTCGACGCCCTAGTATTCTTAAGACCCTACTCTTTCATGCCCTTTATCGGGAAGACGTTGACCACAACGATTTTGGCTTTGACCGCAACGATTTTCCGACCAAGTAGGTCAAAAAGTGGTCAAATCTCGTAAATTTGCTGATTTTGCTAACTTTGGGCGGCCACTGTGTCCAATCTAGTTGCCGTAAAAGGCCTCCCTCGACGTCCTGGTATTCTTAAGACCCTACTCTTTCATGCCCTGTATCGGGAAGACGTTGACCACAACGATTTTGGCTTTGACCGCAACGATTTTCCGACCAAATAGGTCAAAAAGTGGTCAAATCTCGTAAATTTGCTGATTTTACTATTGGGCGGCCACTGTGTCCAATCTAGTTGCCGTAAAAGGCCTCCCTCGACGGCCTAGTATTCTTAAGACCCTACTCTTTCATGCCCTGTATCGGGAAGACGTTGACCACAACGATTTTGGCTTTGACCGCAACGATTTTCCGACCAAGTTGGTCAAAAAGTGGTCGAATCTAGGAAATTTGCTGATTTTGCTGACTTTGGGCGGCCACTGTGTCCAATCTAGTTGCCGTAAGAGGCCTCCCTCGACGGCCTAGTATTCTTAAGACCCTACTCTTTCATGCCCTGTATCGGGAAGGCTATTGACCGCAAATAGTTTGGGAGCGGTAGCCTCACAAAGTTGGTCATGAAGGGTAAAAACATAGTGATGATCGGGGGCCTTTTGCGGTCTTATCCGCTGGGGCCTTTTGGGGGCCAGTCCGAGCCTGACTACTACATCATTCTTCTTTGGAACTCGTTTGGCAATACAGTATCGAGTTCACCTGGACTACGCTTCTCCAAAAGTGCATGCACGTTAGACTTAATACTATTAATTACAAATTAGAATCGGTCTTACAATTACACAGACTACTCTTAATGGCCTGCAAGGCAATGATAAATTGTCCTGGATTCACGGGAGGAGCGCAACGGAGCGAAGCGCCGAGGCGCATCATGTCAAACAGGGCAGTTTGAGAGTCGTTGATGCAAAATGTAAACAAGCCCCATTCGACCGGCTGCTGCTCGACGACAGGTTCCGTGGGCGCCGGCGACTGGCGGTCAAATGGCCGACCGGCAGTCAAATGGCGGACCGGCGCGGCAGCGTCCAGGCAGCGTCCAGCTAGGTCCGCGCTTTTTGCCAAATCCAGCGCAGCCATTTACACTCGACTGAGATTAGCGTTGGCGAATGACACTATTTACCCCGATAATGCCGGCTGGCTATGCCGGGCCACGCAGCACTGTTTGCTCTGGCAATCAGCTGACTGTGTCAACATCCACACACGGGAATAACGCGTACTACAACCTGCGCCACTTGTGGGCTTCTGTTACACCATTTATCTTTCTCCACAAAAAAAAAACAAAAAAAAAACCAATTTTGCTTTTTCACGCCTCTTTTGATGCGTCCGAGTCATTTTCGACTGGTATGGTTTCTTCGGCGTCGCACACGGACACCTTGCTCCGGGTCTTTTGAGAAAATTTGTGGAATTTCCGCAACGGCCCCCCACTTCGCTGCGTGTCTCAGTGCTTCGCGACCGATGAACCCGGGTCGCCGATTCCAGCAGTGAATATAGCCAGCCGTTCTGGGAAAGGTTGCAATCGAGGTGGTCACCACCGTGGACCACACGGCGGTCTGCTGGAGGCTCCAGTCGTGACGGCACATCATCTCCAGCACGCTGGGCATCCAAAGAGCGTGTACTTCCAGCCCGTTACCCGCTAAACCGCCACACACGGCTTCATCTCACCAGTAAGGTACTTTCACAGAGTGAAATTCAGCAAGAAGAAATGGTTGCAGAGAGGGTTCGTCTGCTTGCGGGGCGGGGTGGGGGTTCATAATGTTTTACTCCACTCCATTTTACGCTCCCCCCCCCCTACCCGCCCCTTGCAACAATTTCTTTGAGAAAGTACTTCATATGAGTGACAGCAGACTTAAAATGTACAAGTGCGCAAATGCTATTATAAGCACTTGCTAATACACAGATAGTTAGAAGTTGTATCACTGAGACCAATATTTACATTCATGATAATACTAAAATGATCAATTATTCAAAATGCAGGAAAACAACTTTGTAAATGTGAATCCTTGTTCGAGATAACATTGAGACTCTGAATGTTTTAACAAGGCCGCAAGCCACGATAAGAATAACAACTTAACAAATTGACATTTATGACATTTATTGACAGTCATGTACTATTATTACATAAATAAGGGAAAAATACATGATTGATGCTCCATTTACAATGAGATTATGAGAATATATAGAATGATACATGTAGGTGACGGTAACACTCCAATAACAAGATGTAAACAAACCGTTTGTGACAGACACACACATGATAATACAAGAACTCAATTTTAGCCCATCAATTACACTCTACAAATAACAATAAAAACAATAAAATGTGACAAAGAACAAGGCTTGTGAATGCAGTTTGCCAGACAATACAGTGACACGATCTGGGTTGAGGTTATACGAGTTACAGTGAAAATTTGACAATACTTCCATAACAAAACAGTTTCTTACTTCTTGGGCAAGATTACCCAGCAGATCAAACAATTAGAAAGGTGACAACACTGAGCTGTGCGCAGGACTGAAGTTCAAAACTGTCGTTGACATGACAGGTCCACAACAACCACAGTCTTCGCTTCAAAACAAATTTCAGACAGTCTGCAGCACAGACCTGACACACACAAGCACAGAACAAGAAATGAACTCAGAAACAAGGGTCTTACCTTGCTTGGGCCTCGTCGAGTGACTGATCTGTGATGTTCATGATTTGTTGCAGAATTTCACCAATGTCCTGCTTGCGCGTTTCCTGGTCCGGTGTGGCCGGAGGGGCATGTCCGGGCTCGACGGCCTGCATGCCGTAGGGCGCGGACATCATGCCAACCTGGCCTGCGACTCCGTGCATCATAGCCCGCTGCTCATCCATCCCTAACCTCACTTAACCTCACTTCACACACAACACAACACCATTCAGCACACGCGCTCCGCGGCGCTGCGCGCAGGGCCCGCTCTTCTCAGATCCCGAACACAACTTGGCCGCCCCTGCCGTCCCGTTCCACTCAGTTTCGACACCTCCGCGACGCGACCCGAACACACTTTGCACTCGTGAAGGCGGCCGCTTTTTTCCGGGCCGGGTTTTGACAAACGGGTATCGCCAGCCGCCGCGAATTCGGGGAGGAGGAGAGGACCGCGACTCACGCTCTCGCCTGTCTCAACGCCATAAAACCTGGAGGCGAAGTGCCATTTAGGGAAGCGAGCTTTTCAAATGCAGCCAATGAGCGCGCGAGTTTGCGCGTCTGTTTCCAGTAGGCCCGACCCGTGGTGAGCAGCGCCACGAAAGCGGGCGGCGGAGCGCATGAGACGCCAAACGCGGCGGACGGCGGCCCGCGACGTTGAGGCGATGTTTGGAGTATCTGCGCCAAAAAGGGCACCGCAAACGGTTCCAATCCGTTCCAAATTACCACAGCCAGCATCTGCGAGGCTTTTCCATCCCCCAAACTATTTATTTCCAGAGAAAACCGAATAACAGGAATGCGCAGAACGATGGTTTTTAGCGAGTACGTCGAGTCCGTAGGCTCCGCCCATCGGAGAGGTAGGGGGTTGATTTAATTTTTCAATAATGGGAAAAAGGATGGCATAAGAGGCGTCGAAGAGGGGAAACTCCTTTTTTGACATAAGATTAAGTTAGACGAGAAAACATTCTCTTTTAGATGCTTGGTTTCCATATTTGATTAATTTATATTTCGACTTGGCGTCTCATGCTCTGTGACGTCATGAAGCGGCCATCTTTGTTGCTTCGGAGCATCCAACTGTGCGCAACGACAAAACCAAACGTAAACAATGGCCTTTTAAATGTGTTTCTCTGCGTGATATTTTGAAACATCGATTTCCAGTGCTTTAAATAATCATTTTCAGCCCAACCGTCGATATTGACACTCTCTCATTTCCGTTCCTCAACAAAGAAATCATCATGTATTTTTGTGTCCGTGGCGTTGCGGCTATGAGAAACTTGGCTGGCGAAGCCCGCGTCTGTTTGAAATCCGGCGGACCCGCCGTGCTGGTTATTCTCTGCACTGAGTGGCGCGCAGAGGGAAATGACCGCTGTCAGACATGAAAAGTAAACGGCATGTGATCCTCCATCGCCTTCAAACCATTTCTTTCTATGTTAGAGTCTTTTAATCGAATGGCCGCCCAAGAGCTAACCTCACACTCGGGTTGGCACTACTCCATGCCGCCGGGCCGGGGCACGTGGAGTATCGCTGCCTCGAAGTATCGACAGGATGAAGTGCCCCGTATGCCTACATTGCCGCACCACTGTGACACCTAAGGGGTCACCAAATAATCAAAAGTTATCACACGTAACCAATACATTCTCTATAATTTTTATAATTCAGTGATCAGTGTTACATGAAAAACTTGAGTTGGTTACTCCTCGCGTATTCCCTCGACGGGATCGTGGTCTAGAGAGTCCCCCGGGAGTGACGTGTGTCTGCTCGAGTCGAAAATGCCGCGGCGTGATTAGGATAAAAGTGCCAAAGGAAAACCAAGACTCACTTGAAACGCTAATCGCCGATAGGCTGCTTTATTTTCGGGCATGATGGGCTGAGGGGCATGGTGCGGCGGGTGCGGCCTGCGGCCTGCGTCGGCAACGACGCCCACCGTCCCAACGTTCGGAGGGCCGAGGGCCTAATCAGCGCTTTCTGCGAACCGTGCCGAGTGATGCAGCGGCTTCGGGAGGGAAGTCCGACCCGCCGACTGGTTCAGAAGCGTCGTTTTGTCCCTCTGTCTGCGTCGCACTCAAGGGGCTCCACATGGGTGCGAGAGAGACAGGGCGACAAACCGCTGCCCTGCTCACTTGCTACGGCATGTTCCTGATTTGCGTCAAAGCAGTTCTACTCGAGAATGATCTGGCAAGACCGCAACACCGCATTGCACCACGACCACGATGTGCTGAAGTGAAGAGCAGCCCGAAAATTGTTGGATTTTACTTTTTTCCAGGCGTCTAGGGGGTCGTTCATCCAAGAATAAAATATTCGGTTCAAATGACAGGATAGTCACGCCGAAAAGTCTTCCGCAACATGACAATGAAACCTCGATGGGAACTGCAACACCAAAACCACCCTGAAGGCCCTCGTTACAGAGGGGGTGGGGGGAAGGGGCGGCGGCGGCGAAGGTGCCAATTGAGATTGGGAGACATTCGCACTTTGCCTCTGAAAGGAGGCAACCTTTGCCACAAGGGGCCGGCGTCCGGTTGACCTGCTTCCACGTTTTCGCGGCGAAAATTAATATCGGCAGAGTCGAGGGTTCACGGACGTCATCGGGCGGCGCTGCACAGGACAACACCTGCTTTCCTGATTGAAATGAGCCGATAACAAATCGGTGCGTGGAATGACCGAGGGGCTGCGTCCGAGGCGCGCAGGCACCGCGAAGGCACGCCGGCCGGGCGCAGTCCAAGAGCTCGGACTTGGGATGCTTCGAATGCAGCGCCAGATAAAGTAGTGGCCGATCACCCGTCCAGGCGCAGGTTGTCCTCACGGTGGCAGTCTCCTCGCGGCAACGACAACGACATGGCCCGCGCCCTCGCCCTGATCCTCTGCGCCGTCGTCGCCTCCGCAGCCGCCCTCAGCAACCATGGCGCAGCCCAGGTAAGGCAGCGCGGCCTTCCCCCGCGGCGAGCGGCACGCGACCGCGCCACTCTTTCAATCTCGTTCTCGCGGTGCGAGACACAAAACGTGCAAAAGGCGACGCAAATGGCGGACCGGCCGGCCGGCAGCCGATAGCGCTCTATCGGCCCAATCGCTTCATTGGCTTCAGCTCGTGCAGAAAAGTGCGGGTCACGGAGCGGCCCCGGCACGAGGGGGCAAAAACTCGGGATTTTCGTGTACACATGATTCGGAAAACGCAATGATTTCATGGCTGATTCGCCTTATTTCGCGACGCACCAGGGTGATGTTGAGCGTGATTGTGTTCGGAAAGAAATGATTTCGGACTGATTTTGCCTGGTTTCGTGTGATTCTGCCTGATTTCGGTCGAATTTAGTGATTTTGGTTGATTTCAGATTGCTTGATTTCGCGTGATTCTCAATGATTCGCATGTGATTTCGGGGGCCGTGTACACATGATTGCGCGAGTTTTTGCCCCCTCGCCCCGGCAGCACGGCGAACCGGCCCGGCTCGGCCAAGTTCCACGCGCAAAGGGCGGAGGCGCCGGGTGCGCCAGCACCACGCCGCCGACTGCACCTTGACCTCGAAATCACTTGCACACAGAGTCCGTTGCCGATGTTTTGAGGGGAGCGCCCTGCGACGAGAGATGCACTCTGAAAGGCTGTGACCTGACTAAGTACTCCCCGTTGCGTTCTGCTGCGCTATGCAAAATTTCAGAAAAAGTTGGCTATGACGCTGGAGCAGAGAATGCCTGTCCGGGCGGTGCTGCAAGGGGACGCAGTTTAGACTCGATCGTTATGAGTGTCGGCTTGGCCGGCAGATTGGCGCCCGGTGCGCGGCAAAGCGCGGCAACGGCCGGTAAAGCCTCCGATAAGACTGATCCGCGGCCTGGCCTGCATGGAGTGACGGGGGTGGACTGCATGCAGTGGCCGGCGACTCGCCAGGGGCGGTTCAAAGTTCGAACGGTACTCGCACGCGAGGGGCACCGATCGGGCGATGTTGTTGGCCACCTCCTCGATTCACGAGTGGGCTAATCTCTGCGATAGTGCGTCTTGGCCGCGCCTAGGAGTGGCGCTGTCGCGGCGTGGCTCCTCCTCTTGAACGCTTGCACCGACTAACAAACTGCGCTTCTTTCTTGTCCAGGTGGATGAGCTGTCTGTCTCCCACTCGCACGTTGTGGCGGCCGTGGAGCAGGTGGCGCAAGAACTGGAGACCGAACTCATTGCACTGATCGCCGAGGCCGAGCGCCACCACAGCCGGCTGACCGCCGTCAAGGGAATCGACAACGGACAGTGCATCGAGACCGCCTTCCACGACGCCCTCATCGTGGCCTCCAGGATCCTGGACCTCATCGACTCCGTAAGTTGGCCGTCGTGAGGTAGGCGGACCCTGGAGCGCGCTGGACTTGACTCACGCCGTGACTGCTGCAGGTGAACCAAATCGCCAACGCCCTCCTGAGCGAGCTGGGCAAGTGCAAGGGCAACGTCATCACCTCCCTGCCATGCCGCCTCAAGGTGCTCTCGGGCGCCCTGAAGAAAGTCAGGGAGCTGAACGGCAAGGGCAAGGAGCTTCTGCTTGAGCTGAAGAGGATCGTCCGGGACTTCAAGAAAAACTGTATTCCCTCCAAGCCCACCCCTGCCCCCACCCCTGCCCCCACCGCCGCCCCCACCGCCGCCCCGACCGCCGCCCCCACCCAGGCCCCCACCGAGGGACCCACGGAGGGACCCACCGCTGGTCCCACCGAGGGACCCACCGCTGGTCCCACCGACGGTCCCACTGAGGGCCCCACCGCTGGTCCCACCGAGGGTCCCACCGACGGCCCCACTGAGGGTCCCACCGCTGGTCCGACCGAGGGTCCCACCGGAGGCCCCACCGAAGGCCCCACCGCCGGACCCTCCGAGGCACCAGCCCGCCTCTACTAGAGGCGACGGAGTGGTGACGGAAGAGACCGCCGAACCGACCACCAACACCACGACCACCACGGTGACCACGGCCATTTGCAAATAAATGTCGTCCTCTCGAGACCCTTTGTGGCCACTTGACTATCACACACGCCGGGGCAGGCAGGGCAGGCAGGGCCTCGCCTTTCGTCGCCCTATCTCAAACTCAAGACACACAGGCGTTACGAAAGCACGGCGACAGCGCGACAGCGATGCCCCGCGAGGCAGGCAACCCATCGCGCACGCCGCCCACGCCTCTGGTGGCCGGGCGGGCGCCGGGCGCAGCGCTGACGTCGGGACACCGCCGTGCTGAGCATGCTGAGGCGCCACAGGACTCTAGGCGGTGCGTGCCATGCGCGTCCCATGGCACGGCGTGGCACGGCGCCGAGAGAGCCGCGGGCCGCGCCGCGGGCCGCCTCAAGGCTGGCCGTCAAGTCTTTGTTGGCGCGCATCGCGCAGGTACAGTGGTAGTGACGCGCCGGCCAAACACCAACAACAGCAGTCACCGCGCCCCGCGCCCCGCGCACTGGCGAGCACTGCGCAGGAACCGGCACAAACGTTTGCGCTGGTCTCGAAATGGCACACGATCAATAGTGGTCCAGTATCTCAAGTTCAAGAGGTTGCGGTTTAGGCTCTCAAGTCAGGTCTATACCCGGCAGGGGCTCCAGCCGGGCGAGGTGGGCCAGCCCGTCAACGTCGGCTGCTCTACGGGTCGGCCTACCCGCCAGGCGCTCCACCGGGCTGCCTGCCTGCATGACGAATTCGAAATACAGGAACGACATTTTTGAACGCGCTGAGAATAGTTTGAGGGCTATCTTTAACCGGACATCACACCGTTCACACGCCACGCCCACGCCAGGCCACGCCGGTCACATCGCCATGAACGAAAGCGGTTATGAACAGCCCTTGGCGCCTTGGCGCCTTGGCATCGACGGGCCGATACATCGCGACGGCGAATTTAGCGCCAGCGCATTCACGAGCTAGCCGACGCGACAGGCCGACAGGCCGACAGCCCGAGGGGTCGTCAGGAAGTGGGCCGGGCCGCCCGGCAGGCCACCGAGTGTGGCTCGCCAAACCGATGGGACTGCGCGGGGAGCGGGCCAGGGCTGTGTTCGCTGCCTCCGCGTCGCATCACTGGATCCAGAAATAAAACGTCTGCTCTGGCGGCGCGGGGAGGGGAGGGGCAGGGGGGAGAGAGGAGCAGGTCGGGAGATCTGCGCTAACGGTATACGAGCAAGACTCGTCCAAGTGCGTTGGCGTGCACGGGTTCTGCAGCATCGGCGGAGACCGGGTCCTCGCCGTCCTCGCCCACCTCAGCGTGCTCGCCACTCGCTCCCCACACGTTTGGCACGGCCCGGCACAGCCAGGGGCCGCGGCCGGAGGCACGCAGCAGCCCGACGGAGAGAATCCAATACGAAAATCCGCACACTGGCGTACGTCGACTATGAGGATCTCAAGGAGCAAAGCAAGCACCCAGCCGGCTAGTTGCTGGGGCTCGTGGTCTTCTGCCGCAGGATGGATTGCGGCTCGTTGCAGCAGCACTCGGCACGCGTACACACACGTGAATAACGAGAGCTTTGGCCCTCATTGGGTGCTCGCCAGACGCCGGGAGGGGGTGGAGGCAACTCAACAACGACCAGAATTTACAAGCCGCGGATTGCATTCAGGCGACTGTCACGTGATACAGGGAATGCCCAGCCCCACCCCCGCCTTGTCTTATCCTGCGGGTCAGATAACGCGTGCCGCGCCGCGTGGGCGCGTTCCCACCCCCATGCCCGGCGCGGCCACGGCCTCGGCTTACAGCGCGCCGCCCTGCCCCGAAAAAGGCCTGGCACGGCGCGAGGGCGAGGCGCGAGGCAGGGCGAAGACGTCGGCCCAGCGTGACAGGGACAAAGGAGCATCGGAGCCGCCCCGTGTCGCCGCGTCGCCGCCGTGCCGCCCGCGTGTGCCCCGACCTAGACCAACTAGTCCAACCCGACCTGCTACTAATGGCGCCTCGCGTCGCTCGGCCCGCCAGCCCTGCCAGCCCTGCCAACGACACGAAATCCGCACCGCGGCCCCCCTTCGCTGCCACGCCGTCAATATTTACGTCCATCATCTTAAATTAGCCACCCCCTCTGCGGGGCACGTGCCTGCTGTCTCGGCTTCCCCGCAGCTCGCCGCTCACGAGTGGCGCAAATGTTTGAAAAACTGTTCTCCACTCCCCGACGAAAGAATCCGCCCAACTTTGGCCCAGGGGATTCGCGAAAATGCGTCTCAATGCCCCTGTCCCCACGACGCCCGGCCCCGCGGCGCCATCCCCTGCCTGCTCAGACGCCGTCTGGCTCTCTGGCTCGGCGTGGACGAATATAAACACAACTTGACCCTCCCGCCGTACGCCCGACCGCCTTGCGCGCTGTGCTGCTGTGCGCCTCGACTTGGCACGCTTGGCACTTCCCCCTCCCCCTTCCCGCGCCGCGCATTCCCCCGGCCTGCCCGGCCCGGCCGCGCATTTCCCACCAACTCGTAGTGCCAGTACCAAAACAAGAAAACTATTTCCCTCTTCGTTTCCGCTTCTCGCCCGGGACTGCGACAGCGGCTTTTTATCAACCGTATTATTTCACACCGTCCGACCCGAACTGTGACGACACGGGGCGCCGCGTCACGGACCGCGTCACGGGGCGGGGCGGGGCGGGGCGGGGCCGGGAGCAGGGCTGCCAGCCTGCGGGCGGGGCGGCGGGTGCGGGAGGGAAGAGCAGGGAAGCCTGAAGCCTGGCGAGCAGAAGCAGGCAGCAGGCAAGGAAGGAGGTTAGTGCGCGACGCGGCGCAAGCGGAGGAACGAGACGAGGCGAGACGAGGCGAGGCGTGAGAGGACCCAGGCTACGCGCTACCCACGGACCGGTTCCTCGTCGTCCACGTTTGTTCACTGCGATTGTCGCGGTGCAAGACGATAACATAACCGGGGACCGCAACGTCGAGGCACAATGGGAGGTAAGCTCACTGTACGGCCAGCGTGCTCTAACCTGCGGCCATCCGCTTTTTCGAGGGACTGGGAAATGCAGTGGTCTGGCAGGTTGTACCATTTGACCCCTTGACCTTCATCAATGAAAACTTGTAACAAGCGTCGTGGTTCACCTTAACCTGCTTTGGCGACGGTATTGGTGTCATGACATGACTTTATTACGCGGAGGTTCATTGAGATAATTCTAGCTGCGGGCAGTTTGGTTGGTCCTTTCTGTATATTCAATGGGGCATGTTTTGGGATTTCCATGCTTGTTGACCATCCTGTCCATTCATTTAAAATTATTGATGGAATGAATGGAAGTGCTTCTTATTTCTATCATATTCTCTCGACCGTTTGTTTTAATACCTGTGTGTTGTCACCTTATTACTTACTGTCGTAATTGGATTTTGTACTTGTGAAAATCATTACAGTGGTCCAAACCTTGAATTTTTGACAGTGTAATCTTCTTCCTAGCTCTCTCTCCCTATATTTTTGAATGCGATTAGATCTTTTTTATTTTCCCAGTATAAGCTTTCTCTGTATTTTTATTGCAAATTTCAGCAGCGATTGGCAAATGTTGATTTTGTTTACATTAGCAGCATTAGTTGATGACATAAGATCTCAAATCCATAATTTAATGAGAAGGGAACCCCACCCCCTATCCCCCACCCCCCCTCAAAAAAATTCCAGTATTTTTAAAAATTTTAATTATTTGTTTTTGTTGTCCTAGTCTACACCTCCCTTAAAAAAGTGCTGTTATAATAATTGCTTGCTATGGGAATAAAGGAAATTTTTGGCCAGTTGTCAGCTTGACAAAATTTCAAGGCCAGTGATAAGGCTTGGTGGAGGCGGGAGGCTCTTCCTTATCCACGCCTTTTATTTCGATGCACTTTGACTGATAGGACTAATGTAATAAAATAAGGCCAAGCTGATAGAAAGGGAAACCCGATTAAACATTGCGATTCTAACGCCTCTGAGGCTTCTACTTTGAAAGACAGCCGCTCAGACACATTATCCCTTCAAATGAAAGCTGTTAGTTACTGAGCTTGCTTCTTACTGTCATGACTCAAGTAATTTATAATCGGTTTCACTTTCCTCTGGGATATATGGGGGACATGGGTCTCAGCGAGAGGGGCAGGGAATGTGAGGACTATTGGTGTGGGGAGCCAAAAATAGCACAGCAGCACTTGAAGGGTGGGACTGTCTCCCCTCCCCCTGGGCCGTGGTGCTATGTTTAGATCTGCACATTTTTTACGCACTTGGAGCTGCATTGTCTGAAAGAAATTCTCAGGGCTTTATTTTATTTCTTTCAATATTGAACTGTTAAATTTGGTTTTGTGCCTTTTAGGGTTTGCGTGGGTGACTTTGGCGACCAATGACTCGTATTCTCTGGGAGCTCTTGTGCTGGCTCATTCCCTTCGTAGAACGGGCACAGTTCATCAGATAGCAGTGTTGATTACACCTGGAGTGACACCCTCTATGAGGTATTATCTCAAGTTCTTCTGTTGGAGTTGAAAAGGTGCAAAGTGTTTGTATTACATTTTCTGTTGTTTTTTATTTAAATCACAGGGAGAAGCTTGGAGCTGTTTTTGATTCTGTAACAGAAGTAAATGTATTGGACTCAAAAGATGCTGCCAATCTGGCCTTATTGGCACGACCTGATTTGGGCATTACCTTCACAAAACTACATTGCTGGCGCCTTACTCAGTATGACAAGTGCTGCTTCCTTGATGCAGACACATTGGTAAGTTCAAAATTGAAATGAGCAAGCATTTACCCTTTTTGCCCCTCCTTTAAAATTTTTCCCTGTTGAGAAAGAGGTGCTTACTTTGTTGTGAGACTGGATGAGAGCCAACTGTGCACTTGCTTCAGGCTTGCAGCCAAGACTGACATTTAGTCTGTTGAAAACTTAAATCTAAGCTTATTACCACGTCATCAGTGCTATTCCAAATAATTAACTGTTAATCCTTTTCTTGTGTGTTTTTTTGTTCACAGGTTATTCAAAACTGTGATGAATTATCTGAGCGAGAGGAGCTCTCAGCAGCCCCAGACGTTGGCTGGCCAGACTGTTTCAACTCCGGTGTTTTTGTATTCAAGCCATCATTGGAAACATTTAAGTCACTAATGACCTTCGCTCTACAGTTTGGAAGTTTTGATGGTTGGTGTTAACACCCATTAAGTTTCTTAAAATTCAAGTGACAAAGAAATATTAATAATTGCATTTTGTATTGTGTTATGTACAGGTGGTGACCAGGGTTTATTAAACTTGTATTTCAAGGACTGGGCTCACAAGGACATCAGCAAACACTTGCCTTTCATTTACAACATGTGTTCAACTGCATGTTACTCATATCTTCCAGCCTTTAAACAGTAAGTTTTATCTCAAACTTTCATGAAATTCACTGACATGACCTTCTTTTATAATAAAAAATCATTGTTTCTTACAGATTTGGTACCCAAGTTAAAATTGTTCATTTTATTGGTGCCTCCAAACCATGGATTTGCTACCTTGATTCAGAATCAAAAGAAGTACAAGCTCCTAGAGAATTTAGCCATGTCCAATCATTTTTGCAGTTTTGGTGGGACCTATTCTGTCAAAATGTTCACTCTTCACTTTCTCCCAGTATGGTGAGTACGTTTTACATATCATGTCCAATTGTGCACTTGGCTAAATTTACTATTCGCACATAACATTTTGAGTAAGATGTGATGGTATAACTTAATGCGTGACATTGTCTGTTGTGAATTCTTGCAACACTCGGGGTGAGGGTTCAGACCACAGATATGTCATTAGCTAACTGTTTGTATCTTACCCTCCATTAATGCTGCTCCCAGACGGAAACAAGCGTGCAAGTATGCCCCCTATCTCAGTAGTGTAGCTGCATGATTTGTTGTTCAATTCAACAACAATAAAAAATTCAGTAGTTAGTTGCATTTTTATGATTTATTTAGAAATTTTCAGCTGTCTTCTTTTCTCTTGCTGCCTTGTATGGTTTACTTTTCACTTCTCACTTTTCTCTGTAGATCCTCTGATATTTTACTTTACAAATTTCTCTTGTAGTTCTTCACTCTAAGCAATCTTCTAGTTTTACATCTGCCTTTTTTAAGCCTAGTGTCGAGCAAAACCTTCATTTGTTTGATTGTAAATTGTAGATAATTGCCAAAGCAATTTAAACATCATATCATTTTTCCATTTCTTTTTTTTTATAATGCGATTTTTGGTTTGTGTTTTACTTGTTTTTGCTCAGCTAATGCTTGTTCTGATGCTTACTTGAGCATGCTTCTGTTGCGTTGCACAGCACGTTGACTCCAGCTTCTTCGAGTCTCCGCACTCACACCCTGCTCACCATGACCTAGGCCCTGCCCTGCCCTCCCGTAGTAATCCTACTGCAATGTTTGTTGATCCTTGGGAAAGCTATTTCGAAAGATTGCAACAAGAATTGCAAAATGAAAAGCGCCATCAAGACTGGCTGGAAGTGTTGAACAAGGATGAAAGACAACGAGGATGTGAAGATTTCCAGCCAAACACCACTCAATATTACTCTGAGAGTGGTCGCCAAGATGCCTTGAATATGCCTTACCATTATGAGAGCAATGAAGCCTCTGTGCATCACCATGAAAGTGACCAAGCTGGCGCACATTGGCACGACCCAGGACACAAACATGGAGAAAGACCTCCAGAACAAGAGCAGTATAACTTCCACTCCGACCCCCCACCCCAACATTTCCCTTCCAATAATTATAACAATGTGTGTGAGGACCACCAATCCCACCAGCCAGTGGCCCCTGAGCCAGTGGACAACCATGACTCTGTGAGTATGTTTTGGCATAATTTGGCACTTTTCACGGTTGAGTTATTCCAATTTTACCATCCCACAGAAGTATCCATACTTCCTTAATTACATTTCATTTTGATATGTTAAGTACATCATGTGATTGTGGGTGGTGGCGTTTCAGCTCTTGTTTGTAGGTGACTTGGTTGGAAACGCCACTACAAAAATTAATTTTGCTCCATGATTTGATTTTACGATTTATTAATTTTCTTTATATTTCTGAGAAGCCCAAATTTTACTTGTCTTGCTGAGGAGCTCGAAACTGGCGTTTCCACCTAGTCATGGTCTTAGTCTTCTGTGGAAAACATTTTTGTGTTGGCCATTGTATGGATAATTATGTTGCGTTGTGTTGGGAAGTACTGTGTACTTAGTTTAGAAATGCAATATTTGTTTCCTCTAATTTTTATTTATGTTTGAAAGAGTTTGTCTTTTTGTAGTTCGCTTGCAGAGCTCCAAGCTAGAGCTTGCTACTCCTGAAATAAGTAAAGTTTCTTGTTTTCACCTTCTTCTACATTTCTTTACTGGTGGAAATGCCTGTTTCGATTTTCTATGCTGAAAATACCTAGTTTACATATCTATCTTTTAACTCATGAGGTTCTTGTGAGCTAAAATTTTAACTCCTGCATTATTAATTCCTAGTTACTACATTAATTTTTTTAAAGGATTTTTTAAATATTTTTTTTTTTTAATTTTTGATGTTTACTTATTTTGTACCTGATGTCGGTTTGCAGGCCGGTCTGGCTGGAGCCCTGGCCCACCTGACCCTTGGTGCGCCGCGCTCGGCCGAGCAGACGGCTTTGGAGGACCAGCTCCGGCGACAGGCCTGGGAGCAGGGCCACATCGACTACATGGGTCGTGACTCCTTCGACAACATTTGGAGCAGAGTCCTCCAGTCCATGGGCGAGACTCCGGAACCTGTCGCAGAGGAAGCGCCGGCAGCTACCCCTGCACCTGCAGCTGCGCCCGCCCCTGCCCCTGCGCCTGCCCCTGCCCCTGCACCCGCCCCTGCCCCTGCGTCCGCCCCTGCGCCTGCGCCCGCCCCTGCGCCTGCACCCGCCCCTGCGCCTGCGCCCGCCCCTGCACCAGCACCCGAGCCCGCCCCCGCACCGGTAGCTGCACCAGCCCCGGCCCCCGCACCGGCCCCCGCCTCGGTAGCAGCGCCAGCGCCCGCTGCTTCACCTGCTCCGGCACCTGCTGCTCCTCCAGCTGCACCTGCGCCCGCACTAGCCGCCGTCCCCGCATCACCACCCACGCCCACCGTCACCACCGCCACCCCACCCACGTCACCGCCGGTGGGTGCCCCTCCTCAGCCGCAGCCCTCGCCCGAGGCCCTCAAGGTGGATCCTACCCCTCCTGGAACACCCCCTGTCGCAGCCCAGGCCGAGGGCTCGGAACCACTAGACCCGAACGCACCCATCCCTCCCAAGAGGAAAGGCTCCGGTAAGAAGTAAATGAGCTTGAATCATCATCGGCTGTTGGTGATAGGGTTTGTGGTGAAAGTTTGTATTGTAGAAGCAGAAGCGCACATCTCACTTTAGTGATGGAAGTTGTGGGTGAAAATGTATGTCATCTGAAACTGGGTTCCTGACTCCCCTCATGTTGTATTTTTGTACGAAGGAATCTAGAAGTAAGGAAGTTTAGCATTTTTTTTAGGATTTACTTTTCCTAATGACTAATTACATTCTATCTTCTCACAGTATTTCATTACTAATTTTGTTAGATGTAAAAAAGATAGAAACACCGTCTTTGCATGGTATACCGATCACCAGCTTTCACCCAGTGGTAAGAAACCCGGTTCATAATGCATGGGCTTCCTGTTAAGTTAAGCATTTTTAAGCATTTATTATTTGCTTTCTCTAATCATTGTACCCCATCTGGAATGGTTGTATCTTTCTACTTGTCAGACTCTCGCTGTGGTGGTTTGGAGATCACAATAGTATTTGTGGCACTGCCAGTTATAAGTACTTTCATGGTTAAACTTTGTGTTCTTGTGCCTTGAAGTGTGCATCAATGACCCATGAGTTAGCTTTTCTTTTTGTATGCAATCAAATTTTTGGGTTACAGGTTGCACTGATGCAGATAGCACAAGCGAATCTGGCTCGTATTGTAGCCTTGCTTAGTTCTTCACTGCTCCTACGACTGATCACTATGCTAGTCTGAAAAGCAAGTATTTTGTTAACTGAAAAAGTGATTACCTTATCTTTTTCTCTCAGTTTTTTAAAGCAGAAAAGTCATTAGTAAAATCTAAGTGCCAAATGTGTGCCATATTGAGAATCTCAAAGTTCCTTCCTGCTGAGACTCTTAGTCTTCGGTTGTTTTTATGTGGCATCTAAGCTTTATTAAATTATTGAGACAATAGTTTTTATGCTACTCATGGTTTAAAGTCATATTTTTGTAAATGTCTAAGTTTTATTGAAATTTATTGTTGATGTTTTGTGTGGCCAAGTTTGAAGTAAATGTATTATTTGTATGTTAAAATTTTATATTAAAAATGTTGTTTTTCTTACAAATTTTAAGATGATGTTCTGGAATTAGAATGACTGATGTTGAGAGGGATTACTTGTGAAACAAGAGCCTATGTTACAAATTTTCTACTTACTGTGCCATTTGCTATGTCTATTTTCTAGCTTTATGAATTTGTTGCCATGAATTGTTAAACCATATTCTTAATCAAAACCACTGCCTTCCACACTTAACACGTATATTCTTTGTCTATAGTCTAGTCTGTTTTATGACAATAAGGGTAGTGTAAGTGGGGGAAGGAATTTTGTATTGATTGAATAAACATATCTAAACATAAGATTGTGATTTACTTTATTGAGCAAGGAAGTCTACAACAAGTCCAAACCTAATGACCAGAAACTTACAGAGTTGAAAAATTTCAGTGATGAAGTTTGCCCACCAAGTAAAACCAACTAATGTTTACAAGTAATTTATTACCTAATCAAGTCAAAAAGCAAAATAAAGGGAACAATACTGTTATCACAAGGGGAACTGACTGGATCCTAATATCTTAACTACAACAAAATTCTCACTTTCAGCAGCACAACAGTAATTAACAATAGAATCATTGTGATGTTGAAAGTAACAGTTTCAAAAGAATGGATGTGTGAGTTCTATTTGATCACAAGTGTGTGTACCATAACTAAACAACTGAGAGTAAAGACTTAATTTCTGATTGAGGTAATGATTTGCCTGATAGGCCACACAGCGCCCTGAAAATTCTTCGTCTCTCACATTCCTTTTCGAGCTGAGCCGCTTTGGTCCTGCCCACGCGCGTGATGTGCGCAGGCACACCAGCCAAACGAGCTGCATTGAACCCGTATGATTTGGGACAAGCTCCAGCAGAGAATTTGTACAGGAATGTCACAGTCTCCTCTCCACCCCCTTCTTCATTGTCATCCTCAACCATACAAGCCTGTAGGAGTGGAACAAAAACACACTATTGAGAAAAGCACATAAATCAAAGGAAGAATCAAGTTGAGAGCAAGACAACTCACCATGTGCCCAAGAGTAACCTGGTCAGAATTTTTGAATTCATCAACCAAAGTGTGGTAGTGAGTTGAGAAGAGGGTTCTTGCACTGAGAGATGCCAATTCTTTCACAACAGCAGCAGCAATAGCAGTTCCATCATATGTAGATGTACCACGTCCTGATTTAAAATATCACAAAACAATTGTTTAAATTAGATAGATAAAATTAAGAAGAAAAAAAGAAGTTAAATGTAAAAGAAACACATACCCAACTCATCAACAAGAACAAGCGAGTGTTTGGTGGCATGATGAAGAATGGCAGATGTTTCACTGAGCTCCACAAAGAATGTACTTTCACCAGCCATAATGTCATCATTGGCTCCCAGGCGAGTAAATATGCGATCAACAGGTGAAAACTCACATTCCCGAGCAGGAATGTGACAGCCCTAGAAAGCACAGGCAATAGAAGTTAAGATACGAGCTGATGAGACTGAATAATCTAACTTGCCCTAAAAGACTGAATACTTACCATATGAGCCATAATAAGGAGAAGACCTGCTTGTCGCATCAGTGTAGACTTTCCTCCCATGTTGGGGCCTGTTACTAAAACAACACTTGCAATTCCATCGGCTCCAATCACAGTATCATTAGGAACATAACTGTCGAGAGTTTCTCCAGACAAACAAGGATGTCTCCCATCTTTCAAACAAACAAATGGCTGGAAACACAGTAAAAACAGTCATCATGAAATCAATTAGAAAGGAAAACAAAAGAAAACATTGTGGAACATCAAAAATCCATTTTTCTTACCTTCTCAGTCTTTGAGGGCTCTGCTATTACAGGCACACAAATCTCTCCTTCTTCTTTCCGTGCATACTCAGCAAGGGAAAGCAGCACATCTAAAACTGCCAAGTTTTTAACAGCAGTGTTCCAAATCTCGAACCTACATAATTCACAATTATTAAAAGGGGGGAAAATATGAAAGAAATTAAAAACTGCTGTCATAACAAAATCTATGCTATATATATTCCCAACTTGTTCTCTCACCTAGAACTGAATTGGGCAAATATTCTTCTGTTTAAATCCTTTAGAACAGATGTCTTGGCTTCTTCTGCTTGCATCATTCGAGCAAGTAAATCCTGTAAGTAAATTTAATTTGCTTATTGACGTCTGCACTAAAATGAGAAATTCAGTAGATAGACAGCCAGCAACCTTTGTCTCAGGTGTCCAAAATCGCTTGAACCCTTTCTTCTGAGATTTAAGCTCATATTTGTTGCCAGCTTTTTTAGCAGCATGCTCTGGTACCTCCAGCTGAAAACGATTCTTGTCTGAACCAAAATAAACAACCTGGAAAAAAGAGATAAATATAATCTCAAAGGGAAACGAGACGGTGAGAAACATGTCAAACAGGTGAAGGCAGGACGTAGGAAGGACAAACTGTCAGTCAAATTAAAATTGTTGTGGTTTTTTGGTTGAGTACATACCTTGCACCCAAAGTAAGAGCACTGGGCCTTAAGATAAGCATCCAATTCCTTTTTAACATTATCATAATCAGAAACTGCACTATCATAGTCTGGGTCCACCCCAGTACTTGGAATGATGCGACCTTCCTTCTGAGCTTCATCATGATCAAAAGCATTCTGTCAAAAAATAAAATAATTCAATAGTAGCAAAAATACTAATACTAATAATAATTGCTGTGATTTTTAAAGTGATTGTGATGGCAATTCTTACCTCAAAAAAGCGAAGAGGTTCTTCTAGATCAGGGAATGTGCCATTTGGAACAACTGCTTGAGTGCAGGTGACTTGTAGCAGCATGTCTGATTTTAAATTATCCTTTCCATCTGAAATTAAATAGCATGTCCTTAATAAAAGCAAAATTTATTTAGAAAAAAAAATTTGAACAAGCAAGTATAATGTGAGACTATTAGTAGTACCTTCAAACAAGTCAGCAATCTTATGGGCTTTCTTGAATCCCTCTAAAGTACCGATAAAATCCATGATCTTTTTCTTTGAGTAAATCTCGTCTTCATAAAAGATAGCTCGACTATCAGGATGGGTTTTGCTTCTGACAGCATTTCCTTGTGCGTGGATTCTACAAAGAACATAGTGATTAATAAAACTAATAATAAGCAACCGCTCTCAATGAGCTAGCTACTGACATACTTGCTCAGCAATCTTTCAAGGTCTGGTAACTGTGCCAACAATCCTCTGGCATCCTCCATTATGTGACTGTTCTTGAGAAGTTCTGATATAGCAACTTGTCTTGAAAGAATGCCACTGGTATAAGTGAGAGGAGCACAGATCCACTGATGAAGCAAGCTGCACAAAAATAGGACAAATGAGAAAGGAATGAGATGGTAAATTAAATTTGGGCAATATAGGGCTCTAAGATTATACAAACCGTCTTCCAAAAGGTGTGCAACATTGATCCAGAGAATTCAGTAATGTCCCCTCTAGGCCACCAGCTTTATTTTTTAATACATCAAGGTTTTTCAATGTCACTCCATCCAAAATCTGCAATACAGAACAAATCTCAGGACTAGACATTCAATTAAGCACATATCACATACTGTAGTAAGACAAGCAACAACAATTACCATATGGCGGCCACTGAGTCCAGGGAGTTTAGCACCTTTAGATGAATCAACAGGAAGGTAGTTCTCAAAGCGTTGCATGCTCAGAAGTTGCTGATCAAGATGACAACAGGAAAGGTACCAAGTGATAGCCCCTAGGGACCTGACAGCAAGTTGATATTCTTCAGCAGGTGATAACCCCAAAGAATCAACTTTTTAAAAAATTAAAGAAGAAAAATGTTAGACCGGGTTGCAAAATTTAAAAGAAGGTATTTCATGGCAAGAACAAGAGCAAACCTACCATCACTAATAAACATCTTAAGAGCCTCCGGCCACTCATGAGACTGCCCCTCTTCATTAAAGTAATTTCCCTCAGCTAATTTAGTTAAAGTTTTGGAAGCAGACCAAAATTCAAGTTCAGGAGCAAGTGTTTCCTTTAAAACGGCAGTCAATTGACTGTTTAGCAATTGCTGAGTTCGTTCAGAAAGATTATTACGTTCATACAACACCTATTGAAAAAGAATTCCAGGAGTTCCGCTATCAGTTAGAGATACACCAACAGTACACCAAAAGATTCAATAAGAAAAGAAGATTCCATACTGACATGTACAGGAGGATGATGGGCAAGCAACATTAACAAGCGAGAACAGTGTCGGTCATCAGTGAATTGACCCAAATGGAACGTTCCGATAGAAGTGTCAATGAAACAGACTCCATAGGAAACTTGAGAATCTATGTCCTAAATTATTACAGAACAGATCATGATCACTTATCATACATGAGCACACACAAAGAGTTAAATTGGAAATGAAAGAAGGTTATCTAAGTACCTCTTCACAAATTGCAAGAAGATAATTAGCACTGCCAGTATCAACTGGTTCGCCATCCTGAGCACTGAAAACCCGTGTTCCACGGGAAGTTACTGCACATATCTCCCGCTTCACAACTTTGTCGAACTTTGTTGGTCTAGACACTAGAATGAGAAAAAAATTATTAAATGTGAAGTGAAGGCTGAAAGTGAATAAATAACAGTGATTAAACTTACAGTGTTTGACACGCTCATTCATCATCTCAGGTGTTTCTGTCTGTTCAACTCGTGCTACTTTGTACCCTTTGTCAATAAGGGATGCAGAAAACCGTCCATAAGCCTTTTCAGGAAAGCCAGAGTGAGCAAAGTCTCCTTTCATGTAAGATAATTCCAGCTCAGTGCACCCAATAACAGCATCCATGTGGTACAGTTCATAAAATTTGCCAACTTTAAAGAACAAAACACAGTCATAATGCTTCGACTTCATTTCCCACCATTGACGCATGGCTGGTGTCAGATTTTTCTTGAAGTCTTCAGGGACAGATAGGGTTCGTGGGTTATAATCAGGATGATCAGGACGGTGCTTGTTGGCATCACGAATCTTCTCAGGCTTTAAAAACTCATACTTAAGATGAGCCCATGAGTTACTTGCTCCTTCTCCAGCTGAAGAATTACTATTTGCCTCACTAGATTCCATGACAGATCTGGCAGGACTCTGCAAATAATAATAAATAAAGCATTACAGCATAGTTTTAAACATAATTGAAACTGCTGCAAAAGTAAGCAATAAAACCAAACCCACATTCTTTGATGCACTAAAAGCAGCCAGTGATTTTTTTTTCACTGAAGGCGTTTGTGGAGGACCCATAGCACCAACTGGCTTTTTGGCTGCATTGCCATTATGAGATGATGTCGAAGGTCTTTTGCGTTTTTTAGACTGAGTAAAAAAAAACTTTCATTACATTAGGTTGTTGGAATTGGTTAAAAATCGAGACATGTTTATTGAAGAACCATACTTTGACTGGGGATGGAGTATCTGGTTCCTCAGGGTCAGATGTCTCCTCTTCAGATGCATTATCATCCTCTGATTCTTCTGACCCAGACGCACTTTCCATTTCTTCATCCTCTGTTAATAATAATAATCATAATGTAACAAAATATTTGGAATCAAATATGAGCATTTTACTGAATAACAATGGCAAGACTTACTTGGCTTGAACTCATCTCCAGAATCTTCACTGTCCAGCTGAAAGGCTAGTCCTTTCTTTGAGTCATTTCCATCAGTTGTACCTGGCAAAATAATGAATCTGTGAGAAATTTTTCTTCTACTTTCAACAATTGAAAACACCCAGGGGTGTTTCAACTTACTCATTGAAGTGTCTTCCTCAGTAGCATTTTCTTTATCTTCATCAAGTTCTGAGAAATTTACAATCAGTGACTGCCTTTCACTGATACTCATCTTAAGAGCCTTGTCAGCTTCTTCACAAGCCTTCTGCCACTCTTTAACATGTGTAACGGGCGATGGTTTCCCAGAGCCGCCACCGTATTTCTCCACCATTCTGAAGCAAAGGTACAGTAAAATTATCTGTCCTAATCTAAATTATTTTAAACAGAAATACTGCCAGTTCCAATCTCACTTCAATTTCACCCAGGATCTTGTAGGAGGATTATCAAAAAATTGCACGTGAATACTTCCACCTCGTTGATATTTATCGGAGTCAGGATCATTGCAGACAAGACTTGGCCACCAAGGGTATGAATCAAGCTTGGCCCACACAAGATCGCTGACTGAAAATTCTGGAACAGAAGACAGAAAGACAGCATAAGCCACTTTGCCAAACAGGAAACAAAATAGAGGAGCGCATTTTGAGATTCTATAATAAAAATGAGGATAGTTGCAGGGAAATAGGAATGAATGAGAAAGGTTCCAAACAGATAATAATTTATTTTCATAAATAAGTAAAATGAGTGGTCACACTTTGGAATGTGTCTTGATTTCATGTTTAACTTATTCCGTTAAAATAAAGCAGCACAAATTAAGATCTTCAATTATAACTCTAATGGCTTAGGTTCAATTTAAATGACAAAGCATCAAGTGTTGTTAATACAGTCCACAGAAATATCACACATACAAATTTAAAATAAAAACACAATAATACACAATTTTACCTCAAACTTCTCATAATACATCAAGTTACGATTACACCTTACAGAATAGTCATTAGGAAGCATTTAAAATTTGTAAGATCAATATACAAAAACACAGGAAAATTGGTATATAAAAATTGCACACATTCAGGACAAACTCTTGTCCAAAGTAACTAATTTAAAAGATTAATTAAATACTAAAAACAATACTGTTCGTAATAAAACTTTGATAGCCCTAGCATTTCTTATTTTCTTGATCAGTTTGAACATCAAGAATGGCCTTCATTATCTTTCTCTTTAAAGCACGAACAGCTTTTTCAGAATTCAGGCGACGCATTTCTTCAGCAACATACAGTCCAAAAGCAGTATTAACATCTACACTGCCAGTTTCTGCACCAGCAGCATCAGAATTGTTGATGTTCTTAAGAGGCAGATTTTCCTCAGCTGGTTTCAAAGGAGACGTCACAAACTCTTTGTTCAAATTGCGGACTGGTCTACGAACACTACAATTAGAGGGAGAAATCACCAATTCTTCGCTGCCAGGAGCACTTTGGTGGGCCGAAGAGCATTCTTCTTCAGTAGAGGGATTCTTATCTGTGACAGATTCTTCGTGCTCCTTGAGTGCTTTAAATACAGGAGACATGATTTTGTCTTTCTTCTAGAGGAAAATAGAAACCAGTAATTAGCGTTTTCTTAAGTTGTAGTGAAAGAAATTTGGGAAATTTCCTGTATGAAACACATACTTTCTGTGGTGTTAACACTTTTTGTGGGGTTAACACATTGCGCAGGAAGTGAGGTTCGTAAACAGTGGGTGATGATGAAGCAGCATCAAGAAGTCTGCGTTGAACTCTAGTCCGTGGACTGGCTGCTACCAAATGCTCCTTGCGAACTGGAAATGAAGACACAATATCAACATCATTAGAGATAAGATGCAAGGAGGATTGAGAAACCTAAAAGGCATGATTCAAGCCTAAGGCCAAGGAAAGAGCTGAGCCACAACCGCTAAGAATAGGTAATCGTGTAGTTTCATTGAACATTAAATTAGTTATGATAGACCTTTATCTGCTTGACCAGTACCTACCCGACATACATGTCCCCAGCCTCAACCTGGTCTTCAACAAGCTGGACAGGCTCGGCATTTAACTCAAACATCTTCCTTGAAACTAGCTCTAGTAATAAGCAATGAAAGTGTGATGACCAACGATAGCATAAGTTTCACAGGCATTTTGAAGCCTTTAGAAACTTTACAGCATTGAACAGAATAGGTGTATGGTTACCGTCCAGTCACTTAAGTACAGATCGAAAAGGCATACCCAGGAAGAGAAGAGCCTGGACAATGGTCTTGAAGCAGGTACAAAATGAAACTGTCAAAAAACTGTCATAGTGGAACAAAGACTGAAGGATTTGGCAGGCCAGTGTATAGAGGTTATGGCGCCTTGAAAGTAACTCACAAGCGCGATTGCGAACCGACCTGAGCTTGCAAAACGACGCCAGACTTGCGGCACAAAGTGTCAACCAGTTGTCTCGACAGAAATCTTACCAGACTTGGTGCTCTTGGGGCTGTCCTGAGCGCCTGCACGCGCCGCGCTGTCCAGGGCCCGCTTGGGCGTCTTGGAGGGCGAGTCCGCTAGTCTCGATGTTTTCGGAGTGCCCGCGGCCGGGCTGGCACCCTTTGCTCCGGGAGACGCCGATGCTGCCGGGGATTTGGGAAAGTACTTGAACAAGGTGTTTTTCTGGGCGGACATGGTGAAGCTGTCAGTCTCCAACTGTCGCTTGCTATCGCTGTTGTGGGCTGCTTTTGTTGTTGACGGCACTACTCTTCTGGCGCCAAATGCACTAGAAGTACCGACACGACAGCGGAGCGAAAAGCCCCACCCCACGCCGTGGGGATGGCAGGGACGGTTGGGAGCGGGCGAAGGCAAAACCGATGGTCAAAATGAGAGGAAAGTCCGCGCATAGCGTTTTTCGTCGTCTGATCATGACTTGTCGAGATTGAAATCGCAAGGAAATGCAGGCGGCGCAACAGGTGGTAGGAGTGACGAAGATGCCGTGTTTGTGACAAGGCCGCGAGGAAAGAGATAGCAGACCACTTTAGACAGAGAGAAATTTGGTCAACGTTGACGTAAACATTATTGTTTGTTGGTCATTTGAAGCGTTGTAAGTTTTTTGACAGACGTGTCCTGATTCTTGTTGTTGTCATTCGTCACCGGCTGCAGAATTGTTTAGTTTGAACTGTCAATGTCGTCGTCGCCCTCCCGTTGTTTACATCCAACGATGGGCCAACATGATGCCGAGAGATGGTAACATGTGATAAATAAAATGCATACTCAGCATATCTGCAGAATTTTTCAAGCTTTTGCATGAGCTGTGTCGTTTCGTATTTATTCTCAAGTTGCATTCTTGAACTCGAAGTTGTTGGGTTTCTGGCGGTCTTATGATCGCTTGGCCGGAGGTTAGGTGATCAACCTTGTTTGATTCTAGTGGTTCTCGCGGACCTATTTTACCTGTTTATGACCATTTTTAATACATGGCACTGTGTCCAGCCTAACAGTATTTAGAGAACAGTGGTTATGAAGGCCCTTGAAGGCACTTCCAACCAACATGTAGTGGATTACGCTCTTTATAACAAAAATCATTGGTGACGAGTGTCCCATTTATGTTGTTGCCATTAGATCGTTTCTAAAGCTTGCTTGGATGCTCATTGAGTTACGGTTTAATTCCTGTATGTTTTTTTGTTTTTTTTTGTTACAGACATGGTTGGATACTGTTGCAATCGGTCGTAGTAAGGTGCGTTGTAAACCTTTACCCATTTCTGCCATACCTTCCGAACATGGGCTTATGTAGTGCTGTAATGGCTTTGGGATGGACAAACCAAGCTGTTAATGTGAATCTGGATGGGTTTTAATTATGGTTAGTATGTCAGTAAATTTTTCGGTATGGGAACTTTGCTTAAAAATTATGCAAGTTGTTTACACAACAAAAGCTTCCAAACATTTTCAGGTGCATTTCCTCTTCTTTATGCTACCAAACCAGATTCACATTTGCTTGAGTTTGTCTTAAATGCAATTTATGGGATTACTTATTTTTCATGCATGCATATAAACTGTATTTCTTTTATAAATGCAATTATATGAATTGAATATACTCCTTCATGTCTTTTCTTTCCTCTCCTTCCTTATAAGTAGTAGAAATCTAGCTGATCTAGACTGCTAGCCTCACACAAACCATGGAGCATTAGACTGTAAAGATATTTTTGGAACAGTCAAGATACTGTGGTGATGGTCAAGTACATTGATTTTTCTTTGCAAGACAACAATCGATCCCTCTGTGGAGATAGGACTTCCCAAAGGAAAAGGGGAGGGAAGGCTCGAACGAGCTGGGAATGCGAACGAAGTAAATGAGTTTTCGGTCGATTCGCGCCCGCCACAGGGGGGTGTAGCTGAACGCACCTTGAAAGACTGCATTGCCCCATCTGCGGCTGCTTTGACTGTTCCTAACTTCCGACTACTAACCCCACCCGATCCAGCCCACCCGCATGCAGCGCTGCCTTGCTGCTTTCACGGCCTCACCAACTCCTTGCTCCTTGCATGCACACAGACTTGCTCCTTCGCCGCCAGGGCGTACAGTATGTACCAGGGCGGAGCGGCGCGGTGCGGGTGGACAACAAGTCATCGGCAGCCAGCGCGCCGGGCAGGCTGTACCTACCCACTTCGTATTCTATGCCTCTTGCACGAGTTTCGGTATTTTGTCGTCGGGCACGGCGAGCATTGGGTTGGTTCCATTGTCAACATGCACCTGGCCAATAAATTTTAGCGGATGGGGGCAACGGTGCGAAACGAAAATAAGTAGGCGGAGCGGTGGTTGGGACCGTGGGAGGGGAGAAAGGGGAGGGGAGGTAGCACTGCTACTAGCGCGGACACGGAGGGAGATGCATGTTCAAACAGCCTCGTCAAGTCGTCTCCAGTGTGCATTCCTCGGGACGCTGAGTTGCGTCATGTTATCACCATCCGGTCCCCTTCGAAGAAGATCCGTGTCCTGGGATTCCGCTGACTTTGCTAGACGGCCGACCGTCACCCGAGGAGGGAGTGTGGTCGTGGAGACGGGGTGGAACGTGGTGGCGAGCGCGTCAAGGTTGTGGGAGTGGCTGGCGGGCTGGCCAACACGGAGATCGCTTGGCTGGGAGGAAACGGCACACCCGCTTAGCCAAACCAAACCAAACTTCTGCCGACTGGCCGTTCTCGCGGACCGGGCTTTGCCGCGCTCTGCCTGACCGGACCCACCGCCTTGTGTGACAAATATGTGCGCAGCAAGCACGAAATGGGATGCGTCTCTCCTTCCTCCTCGCGCGGTGTCCCGCAGTCCCGCGGGCAGGGCCTGGCAGCGAAGGGTACTCCAGACCGGACGCCTTCCGAAATACTGCGACCTGGCCGTCCGCCCCGCCCCGCCCCGCCCCGGATGCGCAGGGTTGTTGAACTTCCCCGGGTTGACTCCGCCTCGTGTCCTGCCGCGGACTCCGCGGACACGCGTACGCTCACACTCGTTTTGCGCCGATTTGAGTCTGCTGCACTCCATTCTGGTTTGCGCTTCGCGTTTAGACTTGTAGATGGTGAAGGGGAATGTCGTGCCCTCGCGTGCCTCCCTTTATGAGCGTTTTTATGCAGGGCCAATGGTCCGTGAAGTCACGAGGCTCAAAGGGAAATGCGCATTAGCAGGTCGGGATGCACAGTGGCACTGTCGCAGTCGTGTTTCGGTCATGGAGACGCAAACCATGTTTCCAGACATTGTTGCGTCTCCAGAATGCAATCGTTTGCATTTTGCTGCCAGCACGTGATCCAGTTACTCGGGCCGAGCAGATAGACACGTCGCGGCTGCATCGAGATAAAGATTTTGACTAACCAGCAAGCCTAGTAAAATGCATGAGGTTGGGGGGGAGGGGGTAAAACGAGTCTAACAGTCGTGGACACAATGCGGCAGTTGCCGGGCCTGGACGGCCTGGACATGAGAGGCACGGACAACGGTTGAAATTCAAACGCGCGGCGCGCGGTCCAATCCCGATGCGTGCGACGCGGACGCGTGCCCGCCTCGCCCCGTGCGCTCGGAAGCGGGTCACGGCGGCGCGGCGTGGCGGCGCGGCGTGGCGCGGAGCACGCGGAGGCTCAGAAAAGGAGAAAGAGGGAGTTGTTTTCATGTGACATGCGGCATTGCCGAGGCATTGCCGGCCGCGGCTGCGTGGCCGAATTTCTCCCCGGCGCGGCTTGGCCGGCTTGTCGGGACGACGGCTGACTTGGCCGCCGAACCGATGCGCGCGTTTTCCCTTCTGCCGATCGCACCGCGGAGCGAAAAGAAAAGAAAGAAAAGGAAGAAAAAATGGAAAGAGGTAACCTGGAAACGCGGTGCAGTGCCGAAAAAGGATTGGGCCCTGTCTGCCCGTCCGCGGCTTTGGCTTTGGCGTTTCCGGCTGACTGGCGTCCTATTCTAGCCTCGGATCCGGCTGCGTGTTTTGCGCGACTAAAATCTGCGCCAGTGTCCCGGCCCGATTTTGGCGCCCAGATTCTGTCATCCTGTCTCGGTTGATTTTCATTTTTTTTTTCGAGAGTGGCGAGCTCCCGTTTTCCTTGGTTGTCCGAAAACGTAGGTGCGGGGCTGGCGACTCCTACCGGAGGAATAATGGCTGGGCGGCGGAACGGCTCTGCTGTGTGCCTAAGTAGTACAACACGCGGCACGGCACGGCACGGCGGGCACGCCACGCCAGGCACGGCTCATTTACCGCATAATGATGTAAACAAGGCGACGGCGTGGCGTGGCGTGGCCGCGTCAGACTGTGGCGGCACCGCGGCCGACGCACGGACAGGTGCTACTGTGCCACCCGCACGGCGCGCGGTGCACGCGCTGTCTCTTTCGCACCCGCGGCCCCGCCGGGTGCGTGAGAGATGGCGCGACCTAAGCACGGTTCGGGCGATCGCCGCCGCCAAGCCGCCATCACGCAGTGTGGTTGCGACGACGAGGCCCCGCGACCTGGGCGCCACCACGCTGTCGGTGCACGCCTGTTGAGCGCGGCGTCGTTGGCTTGGGGCGGAGGGCGGGGCGGCGGGGGAAGCCTCGCCTCGTTTGTTTAGCGACCTCTCTAAAATTACCCGCTTCTAGTGCCTCTGCTCCGCGCTCCGCTCTGCTCGCCTGGCTGCGTCGCCCAGCTCTCTAGGAGCGCTGCCCGCCCCGCCCGGCCGCGCTCTGCCCTCCAGGCTCTCCCCGCCCCCTCCCCGCTCGGCCCCAAATCGGCTGCCGCTGACTGACACGTGTGTTGATGTGGGAGTACACTGTACACGCCATTTGCATATCTTGCTGGAAATAATTGTTTCAGCGGTGTAATTACGGCGCGGTGCTGCGCGGGCGCCACGCCGCGACGGCACATTCGGAGAAGTAGCGAGTAGCCGACGGCAGGCCGACGGCCAACGCGGCCACGGTGGTGGAGTGGAGGGCCTCGTGGCGCGAAGCCCTCGGCCGGCGCCGCCAGGCACCGCCACCATTTCCATACGCCTTTGTTCTGGACGGGCCGGGCTAGGAGTGCCGCGGGGAGCACTAGCCGCAATAGCACCACCAGTACCGCACCGAGTGGCAGGGCAGGGCAGTGCCGCCCTGCACCACACATACGACGCGAGGCGCGCGCCAACGGAAGAAGATGCTCTGTCTATCTCGCACCTGCGGGGCGATAGCGTGCGGGACTCAAGAAGCGTCGTCCGGAGCGGCGCGAACGGAGCCGGGCGTCGGGAGCGCCTGACGGGCACGGGGTAGGCAAGCCCGCAACGCTCGGGTGTCGCGCAGGCGGGCCCGCCCCGCCGGGCTGAACACCACACTCGACACTTTTTGGCCGCTATGCTCGTCCCTGTCTGCCGCCACAAAATGCCTGTTTTTCAATTTCAGTCAATTGTTAATTCAGTTTAACTCATTGATGAGACATGTTTAGTTGGGACGCCCTGGTTATGTCCGCTACGACTCCGCCGCTAGTCAGCCCCGCCGTCCCCGCCCTGGTCCGCCCTATGGTCCGCCCGAGTTTGCAATTAATTGGCGCGCGCCGTGCGCGCATCCCGTAGTCTCGTTGTCGCGAATGGGGAGAAGTTTAATGGAGTTTCTCCGTCTGAATTACGTGGCCACTGTAAAACACGGGCTGTGTGCACATGTCCTGCCCGCCTCTGGGCTGCTCTGGGCTGCTCTGCTGACGCGGCCGCTCTCTCCTCATACGGTCACGGCGACAGACTGAGGCGGGCGGCGAGGAGCCAGACGGGGAGGCGGAGGGGGAGGCGCACTGCCGCCGCGGCCGCGCGACGAGAGTGCTATGTGATCGTCGGCTCTTAATTGAGGCAATTGGACAATTAATCTGCCGGTTTACGAACGGCGTGCTCGCTTGCTTGAGATCCGAGGCCTGGCCGCGACGTTGCCGATGAGACGTGCTTATTATTTTCAGCGACATTCCCTCGGTCTGTTTGCGTGGTCTCCAAGTCGGACTCCCATTGGGTTGCATCAACTTCACGTGACCTGCTCGGCCGGCCTGCCCGGCCGGGGCATAAAAGCCGCTCTTCCACTTGAATGGCCCTTTATTGCCCGGTGTTAACTGACTGAAAAATGGCGCGAATATGTTCCCCGCGCTCCGGTTCGCTTTCCTAAACTTTATTACTTAGAGAAGGTAAAAAACGAGACGGGCATACCGCCGCGCCGGCACGCCGCGGCACGCCACCGGCATCAGCTTTTCCGTAGAAGTCTCTTCTTCGCAGGAATGAACTAATTGCGCAAGTTTCATCTCCAGCACAACGCACAACGTTGCTTGATGCGTTCCGTTCGCGGCCGATTTCTGTTTTCTGCAGCCGACGGCGGCCGGTGGCAGCCTGTCTCGCTGGCACGCGGCGCGACGCGGCGCGACGGGGCGATATCGCGGTGTCCGAGGACGCCGCGGCGATGACGACGACGACGGGGCTTCGGACTCGTTTCGCTCACGCGTGTGTCTTGTTCCAGGGAAACCTACACGCACGGCCTCCAGCAGGACCCGCTGCAGGGCCCCTAGAAGGATCGTCGCCCCCTGGCCGGGGCGGAAGATGAGCATGCGAGGGGGCCGCACCGCCATGAACGCGGCCGGCTACAGGTACAGGTAGGTGGCGACGACGGCCCTCTGCGCAGAAGACCGGCGGCGGCGGCCGAAATTCTGGACGCGTTTTGAGCTCCAGAGTCGCTAAACATGACTCGAACCGAGCGTGTGACCCCACCAATGGATTGCTCTCCGAACGAGGAATCCATTGGTGGGGTCACACGCTCCGTTCGAGTTGTGTTTATCGACTGTGGAGCTAAAACGCGTCCAGAATTTTGGCCGCTCCGCCGGCCTTCTGGCCCACTGTGGCCCCTCTGGCCGCGGCGGCACCGCTTCCCGCGCGCACACTCTGACCCCCGACTGGCCTGCCCACAGCTTGATGGACATGATGGAGACGGCGCCCAGCCCGTCGCGGCGCCGGAAGGTCAACTTCTCGAAGCGCGAGGTGCGCGTGCTGCTGCAGGAGGTGGAGCGCCTGCGCGGCCCGCTGCTGGGCATCGGCCTGGACAGCCACTGCCGGCGCGGCCAGCAGAGCATCGAGCAGGCCTGGGGCCACGTGGCCGAGTGCGTGTCGCAGGTGGCGCCCGTGCGCCGCATGCACCGCGACGTGCGCAAGAAGTGGGCCGACCTCAAGTGGGCCGCGCTGCGCATGGGCGACGAGGGCGCCACGGACGCCGTCAGCAAGAGCATCCTGCGCATCATCCGCGGCGAGGAGTCCGGGCTGCTGGGCCCCGCCCACGGCCCCGCCGCCTTCGCCGCCGCCCCCACGCCCCTCGGCGGCCTGCCGGACAGCCTGCTGCAGAGAGGTGAGTCTTCGGCTTTCCTTCATTGTTTTGATAATGGCACAAAATGGTGTCAGCTTGGTGTTTGGAATGGCGCTGGTGCCTCAGCTGTATTTGAACGCCATTTTGCACACCTGAGCACACCTTTGCCGCCTTGTTGTGGTCGACGGGGATGACCGCCGCCACCGGCATGCCCACCGTCCTTGTCACGTGTTTTATTCCATTTCCCTTCCGCCATCGGCGTCGCCTCGACAGGCCTTCCCGCCTTGCACACCTTGCACCGAGAGATAAGCGTTCCTGATTTGGTGTCGCCTCGGCTGCCTCGGCCGTCGGATCGGCGCTAATCTGGCGTTATCGAAGGCTGAGCCTGCCGCGGCGTGCCGGCCGTAGAGCCGGCCGGTGCCGTGCCGTATCAATGCACTTCCTTGAGGCGTGCTCGAGCGGCCATCAACTCCTGCCTGCCGGCCGGCCGGCCTTCTTTTGCTCCTGCCCCTCGCGTTTGGCACGCGGGCCGCGCGGCCCGTGCGTGTAATCACACCCATTTCATGCTGCGTTGCTGCGTTGCAGTATCTACAAATCGCCGCGGCGTTCGGGCACGCCAAATGCCGCCGTTGGGCGCGTGGGCACCTCGCCGACGGCGCAACTCGACCCGAACGTCGCCGTCGTCGCGGCGTCTCTCTCGCACTCACGACGGGCGGCGTATCTGCGTGAGAGAGACAGAGCGACGAAATGCTGCAGCCCCGGCCCGCCTCCGGGTGGCTGCTGTCCTGGCGTTTGCTGCCGGCGGCGCCGTGGTGGCGGACTGGTGTCGCGGACTGTACCCGCGGCATGGCGGCGCGAGGCTCGCCAGCCCGAGCCGCCGGCCAGAGCGGTAGGTCAGTTTCGGACTATATCAGAGTGTGTCATCGCGCGGCTCGGGGGAGGAGCCAGCCCGGGGCCGCGGCCGGCCGGCCCGGGGGCGTGCGTGGCGTGGCGGGGGCCGCCCGGGGGCTGGGGCGTAGCCATGGGCGTAGCGAAACCCCTCCCCCTCGCCTCGCTCTCGCTCTGAAAATGGCAGTGCGTCTGTGTTCGAACCCCGAACCCTAAACTGCCGGCCGTTAGGCTGGCGGCAGGGGGCGCGGCGAGCGTTCGATGTTCGATCTCTCTCTCCGGCTCGGCCAAACGGCCAAACTAACGGCCATCGCCTTTCCTCTTTCCTCGATTTTGTCCGTAGAAGGCAGCGAGTGCCGACAGGCCGACAGGGATATGGCGGCGTGTCATTATGGATCCCGGAGCGGCACGGCACGGCACGCCACGGCACGGCGTGGCACCTTGAGAGCGCGGCGCGCCGTGACCTGGAAAGATTTCACGCGTCCGGGAGGCCAGGAAGGATAAGGCCGCCGAATTGCAATTCGAAGCACTCCGGCCAACACTTTCGGGCTTCTCTTCTTTTCGCGTTTCCCTCGCGGCACGGCGACGACGGACGACGACGGCGGCGACGACGTCACGGCGACGTGCCGCGCGCCGCGGACTGCGACAGCGACTTGCCCGTGTACAGTGTGCAGACAGATTGCCGAGGGAAATTTATTCTGGAAGTTGGTCCGCGTGTCGCGCTGCGTCAGCCTCGTCTCTTGTTGGCGACGGCCTTGTTGGGGTTGGGCGGCGAGCCTCGAGCGCGGGTACCCGGCTACCCGCACCGCCGCCCCTTTTCGCGGGAATTGACGCAAATGTCCGGCCGGCGCGCTGCTTGCGCTCCACTTGCAAGCCTCGCTAGCAGCAAAACAAATAAAAATTGGGGCCGCGGTGGGGTGGGACCGGGGACCAGGTCGCCGACGAGCAGACAAGCACACTAGTGGCGGGGCGAGGCGGCGAGGCGCGGCAACGCCAGGCAGCGCCGGCCGACGCCGCTGCTTATCTTAAAGTGAATAATATCTCTTTAAACTTTTCTGCGAATCAGTTTCCAGGCCCGCTGAGCTCTCTCGAGTCGCGGGCGCGTCGAGGGGAAGGCGGGGCCGGCGGGGCTCCCGCGGGGGAGTGGGGGAGGGGGAGGGAGGGGGCACTTGTAAGAATACTTTTCTGTAATGCATAAATCATAGCACTTGAGCTACATGGGAATGGGGGGCGCCGAGTCAGGTGCATGGGGACCGGTGGGGACCCTCCCTCTCCCTCGGCGAGGCGCACCGCGCGCTCGAAGGACTCTCTGCTGCAGTCCGAGTCCATTATCGACTGGTCTATTTTAGTACAGTGTGGTCTCTGTCGGGTGTGGACAAGTGTGATCTATCGTTTGCATGATTGTAAACTAGTGTGGGTACGTAGACTGCAGTGTCGGTTGGTGTGGTCAAGCGCAGTCTACATTAGTGTGGACGTAAGTTCGCCCTGAACCGATAGAATGTCGGTCATCTCGATGCGTGTCCCAAAGGATTGCCTGTAATCCTTGGCGGTGCGTGCCTCGCAGTGGCGAGGGAAGGGAAGGGACGTCCCAGATTGGTTAATCGTCGTCGCCTCTCGCTGCAACGCGTTGTTATCGGCCGGTGGCGCCACCTGTCCGGTCTCTCCCTCACTCTCGAAGTCCGAATCGATCGCTCGAGTCGCCGTCTCGCTCTCTCGCTCGCCGCGTCGGCAAATCCTCCGCTTTATCAACATTTTCCACTCGGCCCGGCGTGGCGGCGCGGGGGCCCGTCCAGGGCGTCCAGGGCCCCGGCCGTCCCGCCGCGTCGTAATGCCATTTCAAATTTCCATTCCCAGCGGAGATTTAATTACAGCCTTTACTTATTGTTCTCTTATTCCGTCTCTATCTTTAATTCATTCGAAACGAAGAACGGAGAACGAGGGCGCCGCGGAGAATGGCGCAAGGGCGGATTTTGCGCCCGTTTCGCCGTCGCCGCTAAAACGACAATTTGCCGTCCAATTTTTCACGTTCTTTCCTCGTCTATTTTATTTCCGTTTCATTTCGAGCCAGACTGTGCGCCGCTGCTGCCCCGTGGCCTTCATTGTCTCCGACAAGTTCATCGGCACGGACGGACAGTGCGGGCAGCGCGAGCGTGCCGCAACAAAACAATGACGGTTTTTGCCGCGGTTTTATTTTGGTTCAAAAAGTCCCGCCGGCCGCCACCACCACCGCGTCGTCGTCGTCGTCGTCGTCGTCGTGGACTGCGGGGCACTGCGACGGGCCGTACCGCGATCGGGGCTGGCGTGCCGTGGGCTGCCCTGGGCTGCCGTGGCCCGGACGGCCCGGACCCGCAATGGCTCCTCAGATAAAAACTTTCTCGACGTCGTTGCCGCCAATTTCCTCTACCTCTTCCTCGCCGTGCCGCCTTGCCGGCGTACCTCGTGCCGTCTCCTTCCCCACCTTTCTCATCCTCCTCGCCGCCGTTCCGGGAATCGCCAAGTGCGCAATAGAAGCATAATAAAAAGGAATTGATCGAGGTACGGAATGGGCGCGGCCGCACCGCGCGCACCGCGCGGCCTGGGACCCCACCGCGGCACCACCATGCCCCCCTGGATGGGGGAGGCGAGGCGCCAGGTCAGCGCCAGCGCACCAGCGCCGGTCGCGGTGGCGGCGGCGGCTCGCGGCGCCGTTGGCCGAGCCTCCCCAACGGCGACCCCACACCTGACAGTACCTTTCAGCAGATTTATAACACACTTGAATTTTTCATGTGTAAAAGTGTTCCTCTCAGCCCCGAGCGACAGGGATGTCGATACGGCGCTGACGGCGCGCCGAGACAGACACGGCGGACACAGAACTGGATGATGGTATGAAAGCCAAATCTAAATTGGAGGCCGTCCGTCCGCGCGGCCGGATGCGATGCGATGTCCGTGTCTTTTTAATCGAGCCACTGCCGTCGACAACTCCCGACGGGCCGGGTCCTCGCCACTGTCATTCACAGTGGGGCACCGGGAATGCGTCCATGACGTGCTCCGGGCTCCGGCCGCGCCGCGGTTCTGCAACAACGACAACAACAACATCAACAACACAGGTGCACACGGTTTTCATTTTATGCATTTTCAGGCGGCGGCGCTCCTCTCTCGCACGGTAGCAGTGATATTTCCCGTGCACGACATGCACCCGTGCACCGTGAGCCTTTTTCCCCTTTCCAGAGCGGCTGGCTGGATGGCTGGATGCGGCCTGGCGCGGCGCGGCGGCTCCCGAGGCGTCGGCCGTCGGAAGCCATATAGCGAAATATTTAAATATTATTGCTCCGCTTCTTGTGCTCCTACGCTAGCGAAGCAGCGCCGCGCTGCTGGCCGTGCCGATGACCCCCGTCGCCGTGGCGGTCGCAGTGCACTGCCGGATTGGAATCGCGTTGTGTCCGCGGCCCTTTTTGCCGTCGCTGTCCACCGTCCAGGCCCAAGGGCCGAGCCCAAGGGCCGAGAGGAGGGCTTCCGTGTTCCGCAAGGGGACGCGCGGCGATTCTGTCCGGGCCAGCAGCGCCCCTTTTCCCTTTTTGCGAGTGGCGTGTCGCAACCTCGCCGTCGTCGCGCCGCTTTCCGACCGCCCAAATTCTCATACTCGTGTAATCCTTGCCCACCTGTCATCAGGCACGTAGCGGCCATGCCTACAGTGTGACCGATTGATTAATTTCTATTTTTCTAACGATCCTCACGTAGTCGTCCAAACTTTATCCCTTCCTATCGAATTCGTTTCTTTTTTGCTTCGCTCGGAATCCGTAATCGTCGCCCCGTCCTCCCCAAAACCTTGACTTCCGTTCGAAACCGTCCGGCCGGCCGTTCATTTATCATTTCCAGCTGCAGCC